TTTACACATAACATTACCATGTGATTTCATTTTATGCATATTAAAAATATTAATAGTATAAAATATAACTCACTTTAAGAAATCTGTCTAAAGGAATGAAAAAAATTTTAAATCATCACAAATGATGTAATGTCAAAGTGTGAAGCAAAGTGAGTTGTAACCCATATATATATATATATATATATATATATATATTAATATTTTTTTTTTTTTTTTTTTTTTTGAGACCGAGTCTTGCTCTGTCACCCGGCTGGAACAATCTCAGCTCACTGCAACCTCCGCCTCCTGGGTTCAAGTGATTCTTCCGCCTCAGCTTCCCAAGTAGCTGGGACCACAGGCACGTGCCACCACGCCCGGCTAATTTTTGTATTTTAAGTAGAGACAGGGTTTCACCATGTTGGCCAGGATGGTCTCGATCTCTTGACTTCGTGATCCGCCTGCCTCGGCCTCCCAAAGTGCTGGGATTACAGGCGTAAGCCACCACACCCGGCCATTGTAACCCGTATTTAAGCTATTACTACATACTTCAGCTAGTCAAGCAGAAATATTTGTCTTCTTTTATCAAAGTGAGTATTGGATTACATATGGTCTTCAAAAACATGTCTTTCTTGGTCGGACATGGTGGCTCATGGCTGTAATCCCAGCATTTTGGGAAGCTTAGGCAGATTGATCACTTGGGGTCAGGAGTTGGAGACCAGCCTGGGCAACATGGCAAAACCCTGTCTCTACTAAATATACAAAAATTAGCCAGGTGTGGTGGCGTGGGCCTGTAATCCCAGCTACTCAGGAGGCTGAGGCACTAGAATTACTTGAATCCAGGAGGCAGAGGTTGCAGTGAGCTGAGATCGAGGCACTGCACTACCGTCTGAGTGAGATTCGGCTTTAAAAAAAAGAAGAAAAAAGAAAGGAAAAAACCCAACCTCATATCTTTCTTTTTCTTTTATTTTATTTTTATTTTTTTTTGAGACAGAGTCTCACTCTATCTCCTAGGCTGGAGTGCAATGGTGTGATCTTGGCTCACTGAAACCTCCACCTCCTGGGTTCAAGCAATTCTCCTGTCTCAGCCTCCCAAGTAGTTGGGATTATAGGCTCCCACCACCACGCGTGGCTAATTTTTTGTATTTTTATTTTTTGTATTTTTAGTAGAGATGAGGTTTCACCGTGTTGGCCAGGCTGGTCTCAAACTCCTGACCTCAAGTGATCTACCTGCCTCAGCCTCCCAAAGTACTAGGGTACAGGCATGAGCTACCATGCCTGGCCATCTTTCTTGTATAATGTTACTATTCTGCATTACTTGCCATAAATCACATTTTATAATATGCTTAGTTCCCTAAAAAGAAATTAGTTCTCAGCCAGGCACAGTGGCTCATGCCTGTAATCCAAGCACTTTGGAGGCCAAGGTGGGCAGATCACTGGAGGTCAGGAGTTCAAGACCAGCCTGACCAACTTGGTGAAACCCCGTCTTTTTTAAAAAAAATTAAATTAAATTAAAAAAAGAAATTAGTTATCGTGCTCACTTCGGCAGCACATATAGTAAAATTGGAACAATACGGAGATTAACATGACCCTCTGCACAAGGATGACACACAAATTAGTGAAGTGTTCCATACTAAAATAAAGTAGGCTGGTTGCGGTGGCTTGCGCCTGTAATCCCAGCACTTTGGGAGGCCGAGGTGGGTGGATCACCTGAGGTTGGGAGTTTGAGACCAGCCTGACCAACATGGAGAAACCCCGTCTCTACTAAAAATACAAAAATTAGCCGGGCATGGTGGCAGTCACCTGTAATCCCAGCTACTCAGGAGGCTGAGGCAAGAGAATCACTTGAACCCGGGAGGCGGAGGTTGTAGTGAGCCGAGATCATGCCATTGCACTCCAGCCTGGGCAACAGGAGCAAAACTCTGTCTCAGAAAATAAATAATAAAGTAAAAAGAAGAAATAAAACATATTAAAAAAGAAAGAAGAAATTCATTCTAAGTTATGCAGATTTACAGAAAGAAACTGTTCTATGTGAAAGTCTGACCTGCTGTTTCATGGGGCCAACAAACTCTGCTTGGAGGCTCAAGGGTGAATCTTGCCATACATTATTTTCTGTTTTCTTTTTAAAAGATTTTCTTATTTTCTAATTTACAAAGGAGGCTGGGCACAGTGGGTCACGTGTGTAATCCCAGCACTTTGGAAGGCCAAGGTGGGCGGATCACTTGAGGTCAGGAGTTTGAGACCAGCCTGACCAACATGATGAAACCCTGTCTCTACTAAAAATACAAAAATTTAGCTGGGTGCGGTGGTGCACACCTGTAATCCCAGCTACTCAGGAGGCTAAGGCAGGAGAATTGCTTGAACCCAGAAGGTGGAGGTTGCAGTAAACCAAAACTGTATCACTGTACTCCTGCCTGGGGGACAGAGCAAGACTCTATATCAAAACATTTACAAATGAAACTATGCACTGTTTTCTTAGGCATTTTGTTGAAGCTCCAGTTCTCCCATGTTTACCTACCACATTTTAAAAATAGGTAGGAAAGACCTGGTGCGGTGGCTCATACCTGTAATCCCAGCATTTTGGTAGGCCGAGGCGGGTGAATCGCGAGGTCAGGAGTTTGAGACCAGCGTGGCCAATATGGTGAAACCCTGTCTCTATTAAAAGTACAAAAATTAGCCGGGCATGGTAGCACATGCCTGTAGTCCCAGCTACTCAAGAGACTGAGGCAGAAAAATCTCTTGAACCCGGGAGGCGGAGGTTGCAGTGAGCCAAGATCATGCCACTGCACTCCAGCCTGGCGACAGAGTGAGACTCCATCTCAAAAAATAAAAATAAAATATAAAAATAGGTAGGAAAAATTAATTTTATCACTGATTGTCTTAGTACAGAACAGGAAATCTTCTTTTAAATTAAATTTACAGCAGTTCAAAGAGTTTGGGAAGTAAGAATAACCTCAAGCCAATCAGATATTTTACATAATTACAATTTTGTATTAAAATGTAAGAGATACAGATAAAGGATGATTTCAGTACCAAAGATAAGAATTATCTGTTTAGGCTGGGCACAATGGCTCATGCCTGTAATCCCAGCACTTTGGGAGGCTGAGGAGGGCGAATCACAAGGTAAAGAGATAGAGACCATCCTAGCCAACATGGTGAAACCCTATCTCTACTAAAAATACAAAAATTAGTTGGATGTAGTGACGCACGTCTGTAGTCCCAGCTACTTGGGAGGCTGAGGCAGCAGAATCACTTGAACCCAGGAGGCGGAGGTTGCAGTGAGCCGACATCGAGCACTTGCACTCCAGCCTGGCAACAGAGTGAGACTCTGTCCAAAAAAAAAAAAAAAAAAGTTTAATACTAATTTTAATGACTCCAACAATAATATTAGCTTTATAAAGGTATACTTAAATAATAATAATGATCCTTGAATTGTTCTCTCAAACATCACTCCTGGCAGAAATGAATTATATATAGTTTAAGGGAAAATAATAGAGTTTTAGAAAAATACTCATCTTTTCTTAAAAAAAAAAAAAAAAAATCCGCATGTTGTGATTCCCCCACTGCTAGCCACATTTTAAAAGGCCCAAACCCAAATGTGTTTTGTCCTTTTACCCTAGGAAACTCAATGACTTTGCTTCTTTATTCTTCAAGATTATTCATCCAGGCATTGATAGGCCTGAGCACAAGTTCATTTAAACTAGAGGCTATCATAAGCAGTGGTTTGGAAAGCTACATTATATACTTATTAACAAATATGAAATGTTAGGCTAGGTGCGGTGGCTCACGCCTGTTAATTCCAGCACGTTGGGAGGCCGAGGTGGGTGGATCACCTGAGGTCAGGAGTTTCAGACTAGTCTGGCCAACATGGCAAAACTCCATCGCTACTAAAAATACAAAAGTTGGTTGGGCATGGTGGTACATGCCTATAATCCCAGCTACTTGGGAGGCTGAGGCAGGAGAATAGTTTGAACTCGGGAGGCGCAGAGGTTGCAGTGAGCCAAGATGGAGCCACTGCACTCCAGCCTGGGCAACACAGTGGGACTCCATCTCAAAAAAAATAAGTGAAATATAAACTCTTTTTTATACCTCCAAGCTCGAGCAGGCAGGGGGAATCCTTAGAGCAAATCAGACTTCCACAGGCAAATTATTTATCCTAGTGAATCTAGATTTACCAGATAACTATAGAATCCTCCAAACTCCAAAGCCTTGGTCAACCTACCATCACCATTGGCATCACTGGGAGCTCATTAAAAATGTAGAGTCTCAGGTCCCACCTCACACCTAATGAATCCAAATCTGCCCTTTATGCCGAGACCCCCAGGTAATTTGAATGTATATTAAAGTTTGAAAAGAACTGATCTCATGAAATTTTACAGCTAACACAGAGACCTAGGAGAACAAGACTGCAAAAATTGAACGTCTGAGGCCGGGCGCGGTGGCTCAAGCCTGTAATCCCAGCACTTTGGGAGGCCGAGGCGGGTGGATCACGAGGTCAAGAGATCGAGACCATCCTGGTCAACATGGTGAAACCCCGTCTCTACTAAAACTACAAAAAATCAGCTGGGCATGGTGGCGCGTGCCTGTAATCCCAGCTACTCAGGAGGCTGAGGCAGGAGAATTGCCTGAACCCAGGAGGCGGAGGTTGCGGTGAGCCGAGATCGCGCCATTGCACTCTAGCCTGGGTAACAAGAGTGAAACTCCGTCTCAAAAAAAAAAAAAAAAAAAAAAAATTGAACATCTGTAAAATGCTGGAGGCACGAAAATAAAGAAAAAAATAAAAGAAAAGAGTGACTTTAGGGGAAGAGTTCATATATCATTTCCTTACTACATTTCATTTTTCTTTTTTATGCCTTGCTTTGAAAAACCACCATTATCTTGGCATGCTTTAGATGGAAACCATTTACCACGCAATATTTCTGTTCATGTTCTTAAATAAGCAAAAATAACTCATCTAACCCCTACCACTGTGCCTGGCCCTTTGAAATATGTTTCTTGCTGATGTGCTTATTTCTCCTTTCCAGTCCTGACACAGCTCTCCCTGAGGAGCAGCCACATTCCAGCTCCCAGTGTGCCCCTCTCCACTGTCTCTCCACGCCTCCCCACCCCTAGTCTTCATCTCCTGTGGACGGACATCTGGGGAGGAAGTTTTGTAGCCACACACAGGATACTGCCCAAGATCCAGCGGGTGTTTTCTTCTTGGCGGTTAGATGTACAATTGGATTACTGTCCATTGCTTTGGAAGACAAGAGAAAGTTGAGAAGAACACGAAGCACAGACCCTGATGTGATAAAACATTTTGTGGTTTCTCTGAGTCTCAGATAAACTTCTGCCATTAAATGGCTACAGTTTATTTAAATAAAAAAAAAAAAAAGAAACAGGAGACATGTGTCAGATGGCTGGCCTTACCTCGATAGCATAAGAGAGACCTAAGATGTGTAAAATACATATATTGTAATATCATCTTTCCTCACACTCCAAATTCAGCTAGGGAAGTTGATTCCAATATTTTTGTCATTGATATTTATTTTGTACTTTATTTGCTACATGATTTATGTCTATAAAAATAATTTCTCTGAGGTGAATTTAATTCATTTATTTTCAGATATTTGCTCAATTAAGTATGAGTTTGAATTTAGTTTGAAATCTGGAATTGGCCAGACTGTGGTCATTTTTCTTGCACAAAATGATAAATGAGGTGCATCAGAATGTTAACAGTAACTGTATTTTGCTGCTACGCTGGTATTGTTTATGCACTTATTTTCTAATCATTAACTGCTGGGTTTTGCTTTTGTATTTTTAACTAGAGTTCTTCACTGGACATTACTAAGTAAATCTAAGGAAGAAACTATGTTATGATTTATTGACTTATTCAAGTTTTGATGGCATCTTTAATTTTACTTTTTCATTGCAGTTGAGTAGATGTACTGGTGCTGCTCCTTTGTATGTGTGTATGTGTGTGACAGTGTTAAAGAAGGCTCTATAACTTGAAGGGGAAAAAACATGGTGTGTTTATTTAATTACCAGAATTTTTTTTACTTCTCCTAAAATCAGGGTCCTACTATGAGTCTTTCCTGATAAAAGGTATCAAGTACAAATGGGAAAATATATACATACCTAGATGTAAGATAGCCTTTGATTAATTAATTTACCCAGAGAGTGTTCAAAGTGTTTGATTAAAGTTGTATGTTTTGTTGTTGTTAGGTTTTTTTCATAACAAATCTTCCTTGCCAAAAAAAAAAAAAAAATAGATAATAAACCTTAGCTCATTGTCTACTTTTGACAAACACTCAGGTGCCTACAAACATTCTATTATCTTGAGATAATACATGTTCCTAGTTCATTTACAGATTCTGCTGGGTAACTTTTATGACTTGATTTAAGGCAGTGGATTTTCATAGCAAAATTTATTTTGCACATTATCTGACAAACAAGGAAAACAGCTAACAGAGCTGAAAGGTCTAACACTCTTGGGCTCCTTAACCATCAAGTAAGTGCTGCCCACACAACTGCTCCTAGCCCTGATTCCTTGTCTTTGTCAGGTAGCCTTAACTTAATTAAAACCATAAGGGTTTGACCTTTTCATGTCAAGACATCTGCAACTTCTCTTCAACACAAAAATGACCCTCGCTGTTAACACAAAGGACAGTTACCAGTGTAGGGCATTGAGAAAAAGATCCAGGAGCCACTCAGCTCATTGAGCGGACATGGGTGGCACACAAATGGAGTGGTCCATCAGAAACCCACTGGTAAGTCGTAAAGCACATTGCAGGAGCTTTCGTCAGTCATATACGCCTATTAAGTAGTGGTCGCTATTACCAAAGCAACCAGGACGTTTTGTGTTCTTTATATGAGTGCTGTTTTCCACAGTGTCATTTATAATGCAACGTGGAGTAAAGAGTTTGAAATCTTCACCAAAATAGGGATTCAGGTGAAAGTACAGAAACAGAAACAAAATAATTCTTCATGAAGTCCTAACCACAGCAGCCTGACTTCCGCTCTTTTCTACCTGCATGGCCTTGCCGTTCCTAAACACTGTCTTCATTTCACTGGTGTTGTATCTGCCTGGTACCAGTTAGTGAGACTGTGGATTGTATCAGAGATCAATGAAAGCAAGTTTACCCCTGCCCTCACTTTTTCTTTTTTTTCTGTTTCCCCCTTTCTCAAGCATCATGTATTTGGACCTGAGAAGTGGCATAGCTGCTAAGCTGACTTTTAATAAAAACTGTTTGTGCCTGAGGGAAAAATATGCCGTTTTAAAAAGTACCTCAGAACATGTTCCTGTATGGCCTCATTGGTTTGGTTGGGTGGGACTGGGAGGCCAGCAGGAAGTACTGTCTGTGTGTGAATGACTAGGCAGTACTGCCAGTCTGCGATGCTGTATTTGCATTCTTTATCCCTAACTCTGGATTTAGGACCCCGTGAGAAGCCGGGTCATATACAAAACATTTATTTCTTCCAATACAAGGTGTATTATTATGTCTATTACAAACTAGTTTCATTTCAGTTCTTTATCTTCATAGAGTGGGAAAGGCTTGTTCTGAAATACTAATTCTATGAAAATATTAATTTTAGTGAATCTTTGCCAAGAAGTTGTAGAAACTTGGAAATAAATTTCTCATTTTCAGCACAAAGTTAAGTGATAGTCCCTAAGCAGTAAGAGAGAATACCATGTATTTACACTGTGGCATCATTTAGCATAGTTTAAACTGAGCCATATCTATATTTATTTATAGGCATTTAAAATGAATCAATATGTGTAGTGTTGATAAAAATCAGTGTCTGTAAAAATATCAGGAATTCAAAAGGAACTTGAAAAGTGTAAGAACTAGTGAGAACCAAAAATAATAAACCTCAGTAAGACTAATTGAAGACATGGAGAGAAAAAACAGCCGTAATACACTAAAAATACTGGCTAATTATTGCAAATGCAGTGAGCCAAGACTAAAGCTAACTAGTAAAAGTAGTTAGCAAAGTAAACAGGTAGTTTTTTTTTAAAGTAAGCACAATTACAATATTGAAAAGAATAGTATGGAGAAATGCTTTTCTACTGAGGATTTTCTTTAAGCAAAAAATAAGAAGCAGCAGCAATAAATTGTCTTTGGCTTGAGTGCTGAGTGGCATAAAGGAGCTTGGCTTAATCTTTCCAGTCCACACATAATCCATTAGATCCCATTCATTTATCCAATTCTGGATTCTAATAAAAGGAATTTGAAGAACCTTGAGAAAAAGGAAAGTTGTTAAATAAGAAAAGACCTATTTAGAAATTATGCCTTAGTCTAATGAAGAGGAGGTACAATAGTGGTCTTCAAGAAAAGAATATTTAACAAATGATAGATATCAGCTATAGATATTGTTCTAAGTCTAGAATAAGAAAGTTTTCAGTGTGAAGGATGTATATTAACTCTAGGGAAGAGATTTTTAACACTGAAAAATTACATGGAAATTGATTATCATAAGGAATATTTGTTTTTTAAAAATTGAATATTGATGGTCTAGTAAGTATTAAGTGGCAATATAGGGGAATGCATTTCAGTTCTGGGAGCTCATAATTCTGTGATTCTTTTAAGTTTTAAAATACATTAAAGTTTTACTGGTTAATCATAAAATATTTTATATTTGAAAATAGGATAGCAATCTTAATTTTTCCAAGATATTGGTTGGAAAAAAAAGGATTGTTGGTGTTATTTTTTCTTCCAGCTATATTTCATGGTATCTTTAAAATTATTCAGAATATAGTACTTTTACTAAAAAACTTCAATTATCAGAGTCTAAAAAACAATGTCCTCAGGAATACTTCAAAAATAGAAGGTATGCAATCCCTTAGTGGGGGCAAACACATTTCAGATTTTGTCTTTATTTAAAAGGATCTTCAATATACAACATTTGCTTTTTTGTGCTTTGGAAAATATCCTTGTGCAGATTAAGTTCTTCTGTTTGAAACAAGCATGAACCATTGGTCCAGTAACCTAAGAATGTAGAGATTTCTGGATATTCTGTATTAAATAAAGTTCTCTGCATGTCTCAAATGGAGATTACAAAACATGCAAAGGAAGAAATGAAATATCTTTTCTTCTGGGATGAGTGTCAATTTTATGTGTAATTGTCATAATCAGCCAAAAGTTACAATCTGTCCCTCAGAGACATCAGGAGAAGCTGGTGGATCTCCAGTAAGGAACTGTGCTGGTTCAACCCCAGACTGCCACAAATACATTGATATGGTAGGTAGGAAGTAGGGCTAAATTTGAAGGAAATTTATACGATAAAGTTCACAATTTTAAAAAAGTTTGCCCTCCAGTTTTTTGTTTGTTTATAAACTAGAGTGATTTTAAGTAATCCTTGTATTTAAGGCTGCAAAAAATCTACAAGAATATGTTTTCAAGTAAAGGGAACATAATTCTTCAAAAAGCTGTTGAACTGGAGTTATGATAGGTTATGACAGATAGCGTGATCAGTGCTGATATTGACAAGTACTTTTTTACCTTAAAATCAACTTCTATGGAACTACAAGATCAATCTAGCTCCCGAGTGACCTTTTCTATTGTCTGTAATAGTGCCCCCAGGTAAGTTTTGTCAAAAATTAAGTTCTTCTTTATTTATGTGCCAACTTAATTGCCATAGTCCCTGCTGTGTTGCAATTGTAACCTGATCCTATTCTTTTTTTTTTTTTTTAATTAAAGATGGGGTTTCACCATGATGGCCTGGCTGGTCTTGAACTCCTGACCTCAGGTGATCCACCCACCTAGAACTCCCAAAGTGGTAGGATTGCAGGCGTGAGCCACCGCGCCCGGCCCTAACCAGATCCTATTATGTTACCTGAAAGATTTCATGTAGACGTGTCTTTAGTCCTTATTATTCAAAGTGTAATTGAAAGAGATATTTAGTATTAGGACATGTTTCCCAACGGATAATTTTCCAGAAATAATATTCTACTTAAGAAGAGCGATTGACTGCCTTTAGTGTAAGGGCGAGAGTGCATAGAAATATGCAGTGTAAAATGTTTGCATGTGTTATTTCACATCATGTAAGCTTTCCCATATTCATAAGATGAACGCTATAGAAGTCTCATTTCTCTGTGATCTTCTGTCCATTAGGAATGTAAGGAGATTTTAATCTGTATCTAGTCTCCTTTCCATACTGAAATGCATGGCTCTAATCCTCACTGTATTTCTATCCCTTACTTCTTGAATTATTTAAAATTTTCCCTATTTAAACTGAAGCCTGGATAAGCTGCTGAGCCAGATTATTCCTGTGATTGGAGTTTAATTGCTGTAGAACAGTTGTTGAGAACACATTTTTCACTCTTTTTTTTTCAGAACTACTCTTTGATCATTGTTCTCTAATGAAAACACTAAGAAGTAAATCTGGTGCTTCTTGGTGTAAATATGTTTTTCTTTTTAAAAAGTCATTTTAAAACAAAGATGAGAGAACTATAAAGGAAGGGGAAATATCATTTTATTTAAAAATAACTATTCAATGATAGACCATGGAGATACAGAATGAATCATTGGGTTCATAGGTATGATTTGTGCAGCCAATCTTAGAGGAAATACATCATTTTAACATTCCCACAAAATGTTTAAGCTCAATTGTTTGACTATGAGAGTCAAACAATTATTATTTGGAAATCACTTATGGCATTTTTATAATCTACTCAGCATTTTTATTTGCATGATTATACTTACGTGATGAACCATCCATGATTCTGATATTGTATTTCTTTCCAGTGTTAACATGTGTATTGTGTGGGCAACCCTGATTTGTACACTGTATTATTGTTATAATGACTCAACTGTTCCTACATTTAATTGCAGTTTTATTATTATGCCTTTTGGGGTTAAATGATGTGAAGTGTTTCCACCTACTGATAAATACCATATGAAAACATGACTAAAAGACTGATCTAAGAAACTTTTTTCTTGTTATTTTTAAAAATATCAATTTCAAAAGAGATGTTCTCAAAGACACATGCATTTATTTTAAATTCAAAAAATTCTTATGAATTTATTATTGCTTGTACTTTAAAATTTTTTTATTGTAGACAATCCTAAGTGAATAATGTCTCATGGGAGAATCCACATGATATGTGCTTGTATTTGTGTAATCTGATCATGCACTTAATGGTTGGAAAAGGCACTCCAGTGCTAAGAAAATAACCAGAAGCCAATATATTGATTCTTATATCTTGGTTTATGTTACCAACTGAATATGGTGTAATGCATAACTTTTTCCAGTAAATAAACTGGTT